CCAGCCACGCCCTGCTCTACTGCGGCCCTGTCCTGCGTCTACTGCGGCCCTGTCCTGCGTCTACTGCGGCCCTGTCACGCCCTGCTCTACTGCAGCCCTGTCCTACGTCTACTGCGGCCCTGTCCTGCGTCTACTGTGGCCCTGTCCTGCGTCTACTGTGGCCCACCCACGTCCTGCGGGCTTGGGCTGCACTTTCCAGCCCCCTCTTGGAGTCCTAGATAAAGCCAAGCCAAAGAGGCAGGTCTGTTCATCCCCGTTTACAGGTGAGCAGAAACTGGGACTTAACAAGGTTAGTTAATGAACTGGCTGAAGGGGGCAGGTGGTGGCACAGCTGGGTCCACGGAGGGAAGGCCCTGGGTCCGAGTCCTGAGACCTTCCTGGGCACAGTGGGCTTGGGTGTTCCAGGCTGGCTAGGATAGGGGTGGATCATGGCATGGGGGCCCCATGAGGGGTGTGCCTTCTCTCCTGCGGGAGGGAGGGGTAAACAGACTTCTAACACAGGAACTAGTCAAAGGTCAGGCGTGTTGGTGGATGTTAACTAAGAGCCCCCTGAATCCTGGCGGTCTGCACGGAGCTCCATGCCCTCAGCCCCTCTTCCATCCTGTGCTCCCTTCTCCGTAAGTGGTCAGAGGCGGTGCTGTGGGCCTCCTCCCCACCTCACACGACGGAGGACACACGGTGGGTGATGTGCTGCTCACAAGCACAGAGCGCGGGGTAAGGAAGGTCTTCACCCTCCTCTTTCCCGGTCAGTTTCACCTTGTCCTTCAAGACCCACGTCAGAGCTCCCTCTTCACTACGGCCTTTCTCAATTCTCCAAGTTGCTATTCCCAAGTATTTTTTGTTACAGAATTTTGCTTTCCATTATAAAATAAGTGTGTGCTCATCACAGCGTATGGTAGCATCTAACAGAAAAGAAAAGGTGTGTGCGGCCCCGCCTGCCACTCAGCGTACCGTCCCGCTGGCCCGTGAGCCTCTGCGTAGGAAGGACTGGTCCTGGGGACATGTCTACCCCATTCATCCCCACCCCCCTCCGAGCCCCAGCCCATCTCCCTCCCTAGCAAGCACTCGACGCATGGCTGTCCCCAGTGAGCCCAAATTCCTTATCACAGTCTCTGGCTCATAAAAGAGAATGAGGGGCTTTTCGTGTTTATCTTCAAAGCTGCCCTGATCTTTACCCCTGTGTTTATGATGGAGTGCGTGCACGCACCTGAGAGTGAGAGAGAGAGAAGGAGCACCCCCCACAGGGGCTGATCACGCCACGACCCTCCTCGTCGGCCCTGGAGGTCCTGCGTACTCGGCACGTGCCCAGCGTGCTTTAGGCTGACAGGCCACAGACTGAAACTGTGGCTGCCACGGGGCTCCGGCACCTCTCGCAGTGCAACACGGCTGCACCACAGCTAGCCCAGCCGTCCTAAGCTTTACTTTCATAAAGAATTACTGGGGCGTGGTGGTGCCCGCCCTATGGCAGAATTAGTTATTCATTATTGTTTTATTTATTTATTTGCTGAGAGATTTTTGCTACAGGGTGCATGTGCTTGCCGGAGGGACAGAGAGAAATCACCCCCCAGGAGGGGTAGCCACACTGCAGTCCCTTCTCCTCCATTCTTTTCTTGGGATTTTGGGCACACATGCACACGTGCCCAGCCTGAGTTTCAAACCACCGGGTGAGGACTTGAACCACAGTCAACTACATGAGAGGACAGTGATGTAACTGCCATACCATCTTCTGGCCCCTCACTATTAATAGTTTCAAAATTTACTAGAGGGCACATGCATTCACCAGAAGAGACACAGTAAGAGAGAGAGGGAAAGTGAGAAAGCAGGCCACCACGTCCGGGACGTAAGCCATGGCTGGCCACGTGGGAGTCCGGCACCTTCTCCACCATGCCACCTGCTGGCCCTCTAGCTGTCCTAATCTTAGCTGGAGTTGGTTTCCTCGGACACACACGGCTGCAGCCTGGCCTGCGTGGGACAGACGGGGCTCTACCTACCTGCATGCCTCTCATCTTCTGGAAGCGTGCGATGGCGTCGCTGATGGTGTAGACACGCACGTGACCCATGTGCAGCTTGCCAGAGGGGTAAGGGAACATGGAGAGCATGTAAAACTTGGGCTTCGATTTCTGGGAAGAAGGACAAAGAACGGCAATGAGAATTTACCAAGCATTTTCCGGGGGCTCGGCATCCAAGTAATATTTTGGCATTTTACTCAAGGTAATAATTTAATTTTAAGAGTTCCCTTTTACAAAACAGTTCCTATTGAAGAAATGACAAAAACGCCAAAACCCAAAATTCAAAGCCCTGGTTTAGGCTAAAGAAATGTCCAAAATAATACCAAACAACCTCTGAGTGCTAATTACCCATTATTTTAAAATATTTTTCTCTCTTTCACCACAAGCCGAAACCTGTGGCTGCCACGGGGCTCCGGCACCTCTCGCAGTGCAACACGGCTGCACCACAGCTAGCCCAGCCGTCCTAAGCTTTACTTTCATAAAGAATTACTGGGGCGTGGTGGTGCCCGCCCTATGGCAGAATTAGTTATTCATTATTGTTTTATTTATTTATTTGCTGAGAGATTTTTGCTACAGGGTGCATGTGCTTGCCGGAGGGACAGAGAGAAATCACCCCCCAGGAGGGGTAGCCACACTGCAGTCCCTTCTCCTCCATTCTTTTCTTGGGATTTTGGGCACACATGCACACGTGCCCAGCCTGAGTTTCAAACCACCGGGTGAGGACTTGAACCACAGTCAACTACATGAGAGGACAGTGATGTAACTGCCATACCATCTTCTGGCCCCTCACTATTAATAGTTTCAAAATTTACTAGAGGGCACATGCATTCACCAGAAGAGACACAGTAAGAGAGAGAGGGAAAGTGAGAAAGCAGGCCACCACGTCCGGGACGTAAGCCATGGCTGGCCACGTGGGAGTCCGGCACCTTCTCCACCATGCCACCTGCTGGCCCTCTAGCTGTCCTAATCTTAGCTGGAGTTGGTTTCCTCGGACACACACGGCTGCAGCCTGGCCTGCGTGGGACAGACGGGGCTCTACCTACCTGCATGCCTCTCATCTTCTGGAAGCGTGCGATGGCGTCGCTGATGGTGTAGACACGCACGTGACCCATGTGCAGCTTGCCAGAGGGGTAAGGGAACATGGAGAGCATGTAAAACTTGGGCTTCGATTTCTGGGAAGAAGGACAAAGAACGGCAATGAGAATTTACCAAGCATTTTCCGGGGGCTCGGCATCCAAGTAATATTTTGGCATTTTACTCAAGGTAATAATTTAATTTTAAGAGTTCCCTTTTACAAAACAGTTCCTATTGAAGAAATGACAAAAACGCCAAAACCCAAAATTCAAAGCCCTGGTTTAGGCTAAAGAAATGTCCAAAATAATACCAAACAACCTCTGAGTGCTAATTACCCATTATTTTAAAATATTTTTCTCTCTTTCAAAGCTTCTCTTCTAAAATAGCTTCCATCTCGGCCTCAAAGAACTGTTTTTCCAAATGAAGCTTTACCACGAGCATCCGCATAATTTAAGGAAGCGACAGAGGAATCACACCGCTGTGACAGCTGTCAGAGCGGAGGCCCTGCCCGTGCTCCCTGTGGCTGTATTCGGACTTGGACTGAGCAGAAGAACAGGCTTCTAAAGCCCAGTTTGGGCTCTGGGCTTCCACTGTCTTGTGAGCTTATTCTGCAAGAGAAAAAGCTGCCACGGGAAGGTAGGGAACAAAATCGTAAACCACAAAGGCAGAGGTGGTCGTTTTCCGGGGTGAGAAGCGGGCAAGCTCCGGTCAGGGTCACAAGACGCTCGGGCTTCGAGGAAGCGGCTTCGTGATGAGAAGAGCAGGGAGCTGGTACCTGGGTCTGACAGAGCGGACTCAGGCAGGGAGTCCTCACTTGGCCACTGACTGCTGGCACCTCAATTCTTCTACTGGTAAGAAATGGACACAGGGCAAGCAGGTGCCGTAGGGGGTAAGGTGCTGAACTCTCACATTGCCGACCACAGTTCAAGTCCTGGGTCCATTGGCTTGAAACTCACACTGGGTATGTGTGTGTGTGTGTGTGTGTGTGTGCATGCGTGTCCAAAATCCTGAGAGGAGAAGGGAGGAGAAGGGATTGTGGCATGGACATCCCCCCGAGGGGTAATTTCTCGCTTTCTGTCTCTCTCTCTCTCTCTCACACCAACAAGGTCACAGGACAAAAAACTCTAAAAAAAAAAAAAAAAAAAAGCAAGCACCATCTTAGCCTGTGCAGACGAGGGGACGATGGCAGGCACAGGATCTTTGTCCAAGGGCGGAGACTGCTGTCGTCCCTGCTGTCTGCACGCCTCCACCTCCACCTCCAGCCGGGAGCCATAACTACGGGAAAGTGTAGGCTGGCTCTGGGTCCAAAGCCTGAGGGCTGGCCCTTACGAACCACCTGTCATGGGCATGGTCCAGCCAATGTCCCGGGTGATGGGAGATTCCCCACCTACCCAGCCTTAATCCTCCCGGCAGGGAGGGGTGGGGAGGTTCTCCGAAGGAAGGAAGGGCCACAGGTAGCGGACACTGTTCCATCACATTCAGACCGTCAGCGACAACCACTGCGGGTCATTTCTGCCTTCTTTTTGCCCCTGCCCTTCCTCCTTTCCTAGAGCTTTGTTAGAACCCTTTGAAGATTTTCTTCCCCAAAGTAAAAGAACAAAAACTCCAAATCCATAACTGTTCTTTTTTGGGGGGGGCGTTGATTTTTGTAATTTTTGCTAAGAATCTGCATGACTGGCGAGAGACACAGGCAACTGTCACCAGGGGAGCAGAGAAAAGGAAAATCAGATTCCTGCCAAGTTCTTACACTTCCTGCAGCAAAGACATCAAACAAACTGGAACAGGACCAAGAGTAAGTGGGGGGAAACGACGTGGAGCTCCCCTCTGCACTGCCCACCCCTGAGAAGCGACCCGACCTGCAGCGACAATGCGACAATGCGACTGGTTCATACACATGAGGGGGTGGGGGCGGGGGGGCGCCGGCCAGGTGCTCTCACTGGAAACTGCAAATTCCTCACCCTTAGGGAAACTTCCAGAGTGTGGGAAAGGAGCAGAGACTCAGGGTCAGGGGAACCCAGAGGCTCAGGAGCTGCCTTTAAGTGACAGGGCCAGCAGGTGGCACGGTGGTTAAGGCACTGGATTCTACATAGCTGACACGGTGGATCAGGTCCCAGACCCGTGGCTTGAAAAATACACTGGGTGCATGTGCGCGCGTAGCCAAAACCCCAAGAAGAGAATGGAGGAGAAGGAATAGCAGTATTATCTGTCACTTTCTTTTTTCCTTTTTTTGTTGATTTTTGTCATGGGGCCACACCCTGGGGGTGATTTCTCACTCTCCTTTTGTCTTTTTCTGGCAAGTACACCTGCCCCATGACCAAAATCAACAAAAAAGGGGAAGAAAGGTGACAGAGAATCCTCTCAGCTAGGGACGAGCCCCGTCCTTCGTCTCAGTACAGAGGCAGAAGGAAGAAGCACGCCCACCCGCTGCAGCCTTTCTCCCTCCTGCCATGGGTCGCGCCCAAACCTTTCCTGTGGGATTTTTGGGGCTATGGGTAAAAGCAGCTAAGAGTCCTTTGGGAGCTGGAAAAACAATCAATCCCTTAAGATAAGCTATTTCCAGCTTTTTATTTTAAACTTTTACATAAAAATTATTGTTAATTATAATCAAATCGTTCTTACTATACTAGTATGTTTATGTTGCTAGTCCATGTTTATTGATATACATGAAACTGCCCCGATTTCCAGGTATGGCTTCTCCTGCATGTCAGTTCAATACAAACACATTTCTTAGCAAAATCAAATGATGCATGGTACACTAGCTAAGCCAAACTCCAAACCTGAGTTTCTAAAAGACAGGTAGATGTTTTGCCGGAGAAGTCTTTAATATTCATGAATATTTTTGTTTGCTGCAGAAAACATACTCAGCTTAATGCCTGCCTGTCCCTGCCTTCCCCTTTTCCGTGTGAATTAAGTCACTTTCTCTGTGACAATGAAATGAGTCCTAGCATCTGGGGGTGGAAAGGGAGAAGGAATTATGGGAGTTTGAGTTATAATTGAGCAGGAATCTGATTGAAAGGGAAATTTTCATAATTACATAAAAGTGTAAGAATCTAAGCCTCTAAAAGAAATGAAGATTGAAAGCGATGGGGGAGGATGGCTTTTATAACTGCGTCCTATCCCTTCTGTCGGCTCTGACTTTAAAAGAAAGAGGACTCCTGCCTCTTCAGCCATGAGTTCCAACGCTGTCCCTGAGCCTGGAGGACGGCAGAGAAGGGAGCAGCTCCAGGGGAGTGGGCGGCCCAGTTCTGGTCCTTCTCTCAGGCCCTGGGCCAGTCCCTTTGCCTTCCAGGGCTCATCAGCTATGTGTAGGTCAAAGGTGAGGCAAAGAGGGGTCCCGGTGAACCTGAGCTGGAATCCTGGCCCTGCCGCGTGCCAGCCGTGCATCTGGGCAACTCACACTGCCCTCTGAACGAGGAAAATAATGCGTATCTTCAAGAGGTGATCAGGGAAAGGTGGGGCCTGGCCAGGGTCAAGTGACCACTACGTGGAAGCTCTTAGCTGTTTTGTTTTGTAAGGTTACTTGTTTACTGAGGGACAGAGAGAGAGACGGGGACCCTGACAGGGCCCTATCACACCACAACCCCCTTCCCCGAGCCAGATGTCCAGAGTCCAGGATCTCGGCACCCCGATACACTCAGGTCCACCAAGTCCCGAACCCAGGGCCTTCCCATAGGGCTGCAGCCCTGCACAAAGGTGCCCTGCTCCCTAAGCCACAACTCAGGCCCAATGACGTTCTTTTAAAAATGGTAACTGCAGTGAGGGTGGCAAGACATCCAACTTCTAAAAACTCACTTGGGTTGACTCCAAATGTATGAAATACTGGCTGGAGTAAGGTTTCAAATGCTTCGAAACCCACCAGCACTCAGTCAGACCCACGGTTCCTGGTGAAGACACGCCACGTTTTTATCGTCCTATGTCTTTTATTTATGTAACACTTGAGCTTGCAAAATGTGTTCCGCCACATTTTCTCATTTGACTTGCAAAACAAATCTGTGAGATAAACAATGCAAGGAGCCTAAGAATCAAAGTAGCCTAGTGGTTGAGGGAGATGGGCCCACATGGCTGACCACGGTTCGAATCCTGTCCCTGGCGGCTTGAGGAACATGCCGGCCGTGCATGCGTGCCCAAAACCCTGACAGGACGGAGAAGAGGAGGAGGGGGGACTGCACCTTAGCCAGGGCCCATCTGGGTGCTTTCCTCCTCCCTTTCGCTCTGTCTCTCTCTGGCAAGGTTTTAAAAATAATAAAAAGAGAGGGACCAGCAGATGGTGGTCCAGTTATATCACTGGACTCCCACATGGTTGACCATGGTTTGACTCCTGGACCCAGCGGCTTCTAATTCACGCCAGGTGTGCATGTGTGCCCCAAGTCCCAAGAGGAGATTAGAGAAGGGATTGCGACGTGGCCATCCCTCCTGGAGGGGTGATTTATCACTGTCTGTCTCTGTCTCTCCAGCAAGCGTACATGCCCTATAGCAAAAAATCTCTCTAAAAACTAATCATAGAAGAGGTTAGACACTGTGGTCACCAGATCTCTTGGGGCAGAGCCAGTACCAGACCACGCGAAACACTCCTCCACCTCACCACTGCCTGGTCAAGCCCCCACGGGGGACACACGGTATCCCTTACGGGAGTTTCCCAGTTAAAGGATCACAGTTTATTTTGATCCATCTGATGTTTTAAAAAGCCATATTTTTTTAGAGGAGGGGGAGAGGTTTTTGCTATAGGGTGCATGTGCTCGCCAGAAAGACAGAAAGAGATTGCGACGTGGCCATCCCTCCTGGAGGGGTGATTTATCACTGTCTGTCTCTGTCTCTCCAGCAAGCGTACATGCCCTATAGCAAAAAATCTCTCTAAAAACTAATCATAGAAGAGGTTAGACACTGTGGTCACCAGATCTCTTGGGGCAGAGCCAGTACCAGACCACGCGAAACACTCCTCCACCTCACCACTGCCTGGTCAAGCCCCCACGGGGGACACACGGTATCCCTTACGGGAGTTTCCCAGTTAAAGGATCACAGTTTATTTTGATCCATCTGATGTTTTAAAAAGCCATATTTTTTTAGAGGAGGGGGAGAGGTTTTTGCTATAGGGTGCATGTGCTCGCCAGAAAGACAGAAAGAGACAGAGACCAAAAGCAAGAAATCTCCCCCCGGGGGGATGGCCACGCCACAATCCCTTCTCCTCCATTCTCATCTCGGGATCTTGGGCACGCACACACACATGCCAGGCATGTGCTAGTCCCCAAAAGCCATATTCTTAATAAGGATGAGATGTCACAAAAATCAATAAGCTACAGTGTCAAAATGTTGGGAGTCACTAATGGACAATCTAAACTGAAAGAAAAAGGCTACTTTGCTCCCTCTTTGCAGAATTCAACTGCTCCCTAGAGTTTGTTTCCAAAATACGTTTAGTTACCTCTGCCTGGTCCTGTTAACGTGACGGCTTTTCCCTTCCAAACGAAGCGGAAGCCCAGTTCTCACTGAGATCATGCATTTTATCAAGCCTTCTTTCCCACCATTTTGTTTTACTTTTTCCATGGCATCTCTCAGACCTGTTTCTTTCCAACCAATCCCGAACACTGAACACTACCTTTCGGTCTAACGCAAATGGTTGCCCTCTCTTCCCCTCCCCTCCCCTTATCTCCCAAGGACCCATCCCACAGCGAGAATGAAAGGGATGAGAGGGACACCAGGGAGGGGCGGGGCAGCCCAGTGACGGGCGGTCAGCTCTCACACTCAGCTGCTCACCTGGGCCCAGTCCCTTCCATTAAACGTACGGGGTCTGCATTATTCAACTGTAAATGTGACAAAGGGGTGGTCAGAACTTAAGAGTAACACGCTTGAGCCAGTCCTATGGCTTAGAGGTTAAGGGAGCCGGATCTCACATAGCCGGCCATAAGGCTCGAATCCTGGTCACGTGAGGTGCATGTACTTAAGTGCCTAAATTCTAGTGGACTGGAGGAAAAGGGAGGGAACGTGATCCCACTGGAAGGTGCTTTTCCCTCTCCCCCCTCTCTTCCTGGCGAATGCACATGCACTCTGGCCAAAAAAAAAAGAGTAAAACACAAACACTGCTCTTACAGTGCTTTGCTCTGATCAGATTCAAATACTTCCCGTAACCAATCACATCTCCCACTTGTCATCTTGAGCAGCACCATGAGAGAGCACTAGGCCAGCCAAGGCTGACCCCGCAGGCTGGGCTCGCAGGGAAGCGGCCGAGGCCACTGTGCAGAGACCAACGGTACAGAGCACTCAGTACAGGGAGGGTCAGAGTGGGTGCATTGGACCAGCGGTCTCACGCTGGCCCCTCCGGACTCTGCACCCACCACACCTGCTAGTGCTCACGCCCCTGTAGATCCTGTGTGTGCCCACCACACCTGCTAGCACTCAGGATGCAAAAAGCCAGGCAGGAAATGTGGTTTCAGATATCTGGTGCAGTGCTAGTTGCCATGCACCTGCACAGCCTCCCCAAGTGCTCCTGCACAGCCTCACCAAGTGCACTGTACAGCCTTCCCGAGTGTACCTGCACAGCCTCGCCGAGTGCACCTGCACAGTTCCCAACTGATCCTACACAGCCTCCCTGAGTGCACCTGCACAGCCTCGCCAAGTGCACTGCAAGCCTCGCCGAGCACTCCTGCACAGCCTCCCCGAGCGCTCCTGCACACCCTCCCCGAGTGCTCCTGCACAGCCTCCCCGAGCGCTCCTGCACAGCCTCCCCAAGCACTCCTGCACAGCCTCCCCGATGCACAGCCTCCCCAAGCACTCCTGCACACCCTCCCCGAGCGCTCCCCCCGTGTTGGCCCCTGCCCGGCCTCCCCGAGCGCTCCTGCACAGCCTCCCCAAGCGCTCCTGCACAGCCTCCCCAAGCACTCCTGCACAGCCTCCCCGATGCACAGCCTCCCCAAGCACTCCTGCACAGCCTCCCCGATGCACAGCCTCCCCAAGCACTCCTGCACACTCTCCCCGAGCGCTCCTACACAGCCTCCCTGAGCGCTCCTGCACAGCCTCAACTGAGTGCACATCTCCAGTCTGAAAACCCTCCTAGATCCTCCCCCTGCACCTCCCCCCGAAACAGAGTCCTTAGGAACAGGCGGATCATCTCCAAGGTAGGTAAGAAAAAGGAAGCACAGAAACTCAGTAACTTAGCTCAAGGTCACAGGCTGAGTATTGTTTGACCCCCATCCTCCCCCTGGCAGCCTGAGCCCAGGGTCCGAGCCCCGCCCCTCTTCTCCACTCTCTCAGGATCACCGGGATACTCACATCGGCTTCCAAAGTGTCGGAGGCCTGGGCCTTTATTCGTGGGTGCCACCATTTCTCGACGTCCTTCCTCGTCTGCAGCGTATACTCTTTCGTCCACTTTCCCGTGGCACTGTAAATGCTCCTCACTCTCCTTGCCCACCTGATGACACCCAGCACACCGCTCAGCTGGCTGTTCAGAAGAGAGGCACGCAAGGCCAGTCTCTGCCAAGCAGAAGCCATCTTCCGAAGCGGGGAGGCCCTGAAGAGAGCAGGAAGCAGGCAGTGAGCTGCGCCAGGTGCCCAATCTGCCCTCCCGCTAGCACGGCCCTGCCCCGCCGGTCCACGCTCCTCTCCCTCTTCTCTCGTTTCCCTCTTATTCTTTCAACGATTTCCTTCTCTGCAAAGGAAACTTTTGACCCTCAATTGAGTCAAACACAAATTTGAAATGGAAAATACCAAGGTAGGCAGACCCTCAAACACAGTGGGTACAAAAACCCCACAGGACAATTGGAAGCTACCGCCTGGCCAGCTCCCACTCAGCCTGGCAGGGGATGGGGGCAGGGGAGGCAGGGGAGGCAGGGGAGTCAGGTGAGCCCCCTCTCGCCCTCTCCTCTGGGCCAGCCCAGGGGCTGCTGGTGGGCTTCATGGCCCATCTCCAGGCCCCAGAAGAGCACCAGGCACACTCTGCTCGGCCCTGGCTCACGCACACAGGGCTCCGAGGAGGACCAGAGTCTGGGCAATTGTTAGCATTTTTCACACGGGAGTTAAATGCACCCCGTAGGCCCACTCATTCAGTTCCTCATTCATGTAACAGATTTATCGGATGCCACAGGCTGGTCTAGGCATGAGGTATACAGCAGTGAGCAAGACCAAAGCCCCTTCTTTCTTTCTTTTTTTTTTTTTTTTTTGGAGAGGTTTTTGCTATAGGGCACATGCGCTCACCAGAAAGACAGAGAGAGACAGAGAGATAGAGAGAAATCACCCCTTGTGGGGATGACCATGCCGCAATTCCTTCTCCTCCATTCTCCCCTCAGGATCTTGGGCACACACGCACACGCGCCTGGCGTGAGTTTAAGTCGCCGGGTCTGGGACTCAAACCGCGGTCAACTAAGTGGGAGTCCAGCGACATAGCCATTATGCTAACTGCTGGTCCCAAGACCCTTCTTTCATGGCGTTTACATGCTAGTGGAGAAGCTGGTAAGAAACATACAAGGATACAGGACCAGTAGAGGGGAAATGGTTACATGGATGGACTCCCAGGTAGTCGACCATGGTTCAAGTCCTGGACCTGGCGGCTTAAAACTCATGCCCAGGGACCAGCAGATGGAATGGTGGTTAAGGGTCCTGGATCTCACAGGGCCGACTCCATGGTTCAAGTCCCAGACCCAGTGGCTTGAAAAGCATGCCAGGACGGGGCCAGCAGGTGACATGGTAGTTAAGGGCACTGCACTCCCACATGGCTGACGCCAGCTGGAGTCCCAGACCTGGCGTCTTGCTTTCTCACTTTCTCTCTCTCACTCTGTCCCTCTGTAGGCAAATTAAAATAAATAAATAAGAATGAATAAAGTTAGATAAAATAATTCTCTAAAAAGAAAAGAAAAGAAAAACACAACAGGCATGTATGTGGTACATAACCAAAATCCCAAGAACAAAAAAGGGATTGTAGTGTGGCCACTCCCGGGGAGGGGGGGTGATTTCTCACTGTCTCTCTCCTTGTGCCTTGTACCAAAAACTGAAAGAAAAAAAAAGAGTGCAGACAGAGCACTATGAGCAATATGAAGGATGGTCATTGTCTCATCCAAAACCAAATCCTTCTCTACAACTTACTGATACTAAACATTGACTCATAAATAACAGACACTCATTGTCTAGACAAGAGCAAGCTTGCTACAAATGTTTACATAAGAACAGCCTCACTGATAACCACTCCTTGGCTTAAATCAAGGAGCTAGAGAATCCTGGAACAGCCCTGCGCATTGAAAAGAATTTAAAGCTCATGAAGGAAAAGCATAAACAGACTGGAAAGTGACAGATTATTCAATGAGTGAGGAAAAATTCAAACTAGAGCCCTAGCTCAAATAATAAATGGGAGTAACCCTAGGTAGATTTAAAAATGTTTTTACAATATTATAAAACAAGACAAAAATAAAGATGAGTATCTTGTAAATTTTTACAAGATGCAGCATGTGCTATCCTTAGCATAAAATAATGGTAAAAGTCACAAAGGAAAATGCGAATAAATCTGACTATAAAAAAATACAATATCTGCATATCAAATCTATCATGAGGAATAGAAGAAAGCGAATTAGCGGAGAGAAAATGCCCAAATTACAATGACAAAAGGTTGCCCTACTCATAAAGAGATCACGTGGGAATAGAAACAATGAAATACTAATTTAAAAAATGGGCAAAGGAAAATAGGAAAAATGACAGATGTACAAGAGTCTATTATATGAAAAAATCCATGTCAGAACTAATCAAAGAAATGCAAATTAAAACAACGATGAATATGCTGCACATCAGATTGGCAAAGCTTGTTTAAATGAGAATAGGAATCGTTACCCACTGCTGGTGAGAGCTGCTCCACCTCTCAGCGAAGCAATCTGGCCAGGGACATCAAGACTTTTAAGAAAAGTCCATACTCTTTGGCTTAGGGGTCCCCAAGACCATCCTCAGGTTCGTTAGGAGAACTCACAGTCAGTGTATAGTCCACACCTCTTCCTTCCCAGCCCTGTCCTAGGCCATTCCAAGCACTTTCCACCGAAGCCCTGATGGCAGAAACCTGACACCAAGGAGCAGCCACTTTACTAGAAGGCTGGGCTGACGGGGAAAATGTGAAAGGTGCAGCTCGGGTAATATTTATGATCAACTTGGTCCTTTACTTCCTTAGCTTGGGCTCAATCCAGTGCCTTCCAGACATGCTTGAGACCCGACTCTTCTTCCATGTCCTTCCGAAACTACTCCACTCCTCTTCAGAGTCAGTCCTGACCCCAATCTCAGTTGAGGCTTTAGGTGAAGGTTTCTGAGAACAGGAGGGGCCTGAGTACTGGACCCAAACTGGTGATCACATATGGACAGAGAAACCAGGGAGAAGAGTGGGAGGAAGGCAAAGAAACAGAGCTCATGGGGGAAACGCAGGAAGACCTCTGTGTACCCCTAAGAAAGTGCAGGAATATAACTGGGGAAACTAATCTTAAGCCATGTTTTGTGATGAGAACTGTGTGTCCTGGTGTTCGCAGCTACTGATTCAGTGTGACCTAAGGCAAATGATTTGTCTGGCCCCTCCTCTCTCTGCACGATAAGAGAGTAGATCCAGATGATTTCTGTGGACCTTCGGGCCCCAACATGCTGTGGCAATGACCCGTCGAGCCCAGAGATGCAACAGATGATTTCTAATAGATCCAAACCCCCGATCGAGGGAGCAGAGATCCAAGGAGAAACTAAGGTGAGGGAGCGGGGAAAGGGGAACTGGAGTACAAAACCGTGTTTACACGTGTGTTTTCCGGAAAAGGGTCCAGAGCTATCAACAGAGCGGACGGCTCGGAGAGAACGAAGACCTGACCTCCGGGAGTTTTCCAGTCCAGAATGCAAGGATCCGGGACAACCTGGCCAGCACGCCCCTTCCCTTCCTGCCCTCGGCAAGTCCCGATCGGGGACGAGAGGCGACTGGGCCTCGTCCCCCGTCTCGTTAAACCCTGGCCGGGGGGTTACCTGCTCACAGGCTCTCGCCTGCGACTGCTCTAGGCCTCTTTTTCCACGTTCAGAACACGGGCCAGCCAGTCACCATGGGCGCCGCCATGTTGGCAGAACAACAACTTTATCGGCAG